CAAGTTTCATGCATTTTCAGATTACTGTAGTACATGTATCTCATTGCCATTAAAATTTTTTTTTTTAAAATTTATATCTTTGATAGCTGTGCCCACTGAAATGCTCCTCAGGTTTCTGTGATCTGTGGTGAAAATCTAGTGTGACTTGGGTGTTTTACTAGAAAATGTGAAGTCATCTCTATGAAAATTGCTTCATGTGTGCCTTTTTCAGAGTGGGCCTGGCATTGTATCCAGCACATGGAAATATGATGAGAGATGTGCATAATGTCATTGGCTCTTGCCAGCTGTCTTAGTTTATAGCTTTGCATTGAAAAATGTCTGATTTAAACCTAATTGTAACATGTTTAATAAATAAGTGCACATCTACTCTATTTCAGTGTTAGTTTTTTTTCTGCACTTTGATTAAATATTTGTATTACCTCGTAATGATTAGGTTTTATGTTTATGTCTTGCATGTGTAAAATGAGAATTTAAATCCCAAGTTTGAAAGACAAACAATTAATCAAGTGTTCAACACTCTCCGTACTTGGTCTTACTTTCAGACCACAGAGTAAAGGCAGCCTGCCATGTAAATAATGAAAATGGTTGATTGGGGAGTAAAATATTTGCAGTCAATTACAAATCAGTCTTTGCAAAATACTTATTTGGTTGGAGAATAGGCTTCATTGCAGGCGGCACAATGCCATAGCTGCTCCTCTCTCCTCTCTAGGATCCATGAAAGGGTTTGCCTGCTGATCGTGCTAGTTAACAGCTGGTTTAGTCTTTGCAAAATGCTATAATTATTGTACTAAAAAAGGACATCTTAATGACAAGAACCTTGCAATATCCAAATATTGCTTTGAAGCCTATTGTTTCTAATCCAAACCCCAAGAATAGCATTCATATGACCTTATGCATTTGCGAGTGCCGTAAAACCTAACTAAAACAAACAAAAAACCCCCTGAGAAATGAAGCTGTTCTTTCCCTCTCCACCATCCCTCTCCCCCACCCCCTCCCCCATCCCCTCCCCCACTCTTTCAGGCTCTGCTCGGGATGCGTCGGCGTCTGGACGACCCCCAACTGCTCACAGTTGACACCGTCCTCAACATGATGATCTCCTTCAGGGAAGTGCAGGTAAACGGGACTTGTGAATTTATCGATGAAGACAACTGACTTTTGTAAGTTTGTACAATTGAATTGTTCCAGAAATTGTATGTGTCCGAACCTACTCAAATAACCACCTGTCCAAGACAATCACCTGTACAAACGACTGCTTCACATTTCCACCCTTACTTTTAAAAAATATAATAAGGACTGTGTCAAACTGGAGGTGGACTGTTATTTGAAGGTTCTTCTCTCATAGATAATTCATTTGTGTCACGACGGGATGGAATCAGTCGCTCGTCAATTTTTGGGCATGTGGAGTTATTGGTATCACCTTAAAGCTTGTTCTTTTGCTTTCCTTTCGATGAAAGAATTCCTCATTTATCTTGAAGAATTACCCATTTATCTTGAGTACATGTCGAGATATTGCCAATGGAATGAGGTGGGGGTCTCCTGGTTTTTAGAGGTAAAATTAAGTGAGAAAATTGCCTCCAAGGTTTGGTTATTTGCAAGGCCTCAGAGTTCATGAAAACTCACAAAATACTTTTTTGTGTGCCTTTAATCAACTTTTTTCAATATAATTCACACTGAAATGGGTTCTTAAATGAACGTAGAAGGTGTTGAGCCAAAAAAACAAAATTTGGATAAGAATTGCCAATCCAGCGAAAAAGTGTCAGTTTTTTTACTTTCATTATTTTGATGAGTGCCTACTTTCACCACGATGCCTCACAATATATAAGCCAGCTCTTATGAACATCTGTCCAAGACAATCGCCTGTACAAACAACCACTTCCCATTTCCATCCTTGCTGTTTAAGACATTATAATGACACTGTTTAGTAGGACCACTTTTCTCCTTGACAATGGGTGGTCATCTTGAACAAGCCCTCTTAGATGAACTGTCTGTGCTGTTGTTTTTTATGCTATCCATCTGTCTGTCTGTGTGTCTGTCTGTCTGTCTGTCTGACTTCATATCTATCTGTCTGTCTGTCTGTCTGTCCGTCCATCCGTCCGTCCATCCATCCATCTATTTATCTATATTTGTTTTTCAAAGAGGCCTTCAAGTCCATATGCACTAAACCATGACTGTTGATCTCCTCAGGACTACAAGGCCATGGTGAAGCTGGTGGAGGACGTGAGTAGCTTCCCCTTCATCAAGATAGACGGGAACCAGGGCATACAGAACCTGTATGCTTTTGCCTTAAACAGGTGAGGGGGCTGGCGGTTAGAGGGCGCCACTGGAAGGTCCTACGCCTACTACTTTTTTACTTTCCATCTGCTGTTTCTGTCTGTCTGTCTTAGGTTTTCCCAGCTCTAAATGACCATGATAGTGTCGATGTGCTTCTCTTTACTCAAACAAACAAACAAATGGGTGAGAGGATTTGTTAAAGTAACACTTGATTACTTGATCCTGGGAACAACATCCTAGCACTCCGGACATTGCCATACGTGCTCCGCTCCCCGCTGCAATATCCACCACAGAGTCCATCTGCTGATTGTTCCGGTGTTAGAGTAACAGCATTGCTACACGGTCGTGCAAGTGGTTTACCTTTGTGCGTGTCTCTTTAGTGAGGAATTAAGTAAGATGTCGCAAACATAACTTTTCACAAATTGAGTAGGTGGTTTTGCCATAAGAATGGTTGTGCACTTTGAGAGTGAAAGGAGAAGTGGCAGCAGGCTTTTCCTCACTGTTCCCCAGATGAACTTTAGGTGCAAGTAGTACATTTTATTGACATTTTAAAAGTTTTTTTTTCACATTGCAATAGTCAATAAATGGATAGGAGAAAGTTTCTGATATGTTTAGACCTCTCTACTAAACAGCGTCCGCTTTTTAAATTTTCAATTTATACGGAGCATTCTTTCTTTTCCAGGTTGAATAATTGTTTCTTATCGAAGGGCCAGATTGTATGTTTGATATGAGATATAATTCATGTCTTTAAACTGTTGTTCTTTATGGTAAAATATAAATGTTTTGATACTTTTGTAAATATTAATGGCTTATTTTCCAAGTCACTAATGCTAGTTTCATCAAGTTTTTCTCTTTGTATTCTTACCGAGATTTATTTATTTCCACAGAAATGGAAACAGAGAGAAAGCGTTGAGTGTTATTTTGAAGGTAAGTAGGATATAGTAGTAACAAATTGTTCAGCACTCTGTTGATGTGGCAAGTTTCCCTGATGAAGACATATTGTGAGATAATATTGTGAAAAAATGTCTGTCCTTTCTTATAACTGTCACAAAATGAGTGTATTCCTCCATCATGATTTGAACACTCAACATAGTCTGTGCCAGATTGCACACGATTGCTTAGCAGGTTGTAACACTTTGTCCCCAGTGGCATTGACGTGGAACATTTAAAAAAAACGAATGCATAGAACGAGTGGCGTATTTATTAATGATAATAATTAATAAATAGCATTTGTATTTAGCGGTAGCGCCTACACATGCTCAACAGCAAGCTCTATGGGCTTTACACTATATTATTACCCCAGCAGACCACAGAACACTCAGAAACATTCTCAGCTTCCTGGGAAGCATACAGTGCTTGCCGCTGATTAGGCCCACAAACACTATCAAACTGGCAAGATTTTTCACTGTCTATAGCTGGGTACCCATTCCCACCTTGGTGAAGTGAGGAAAATTTATATAAACATAAAGTGCCTTTCCCAAGGATTCAACATCGGGTCCCTTACACGATTCAATCCAACGACCTTACGGTTGCGAGCCTGAGAGCATAACCTCTAGGCCACCGATGCCAAAAGTTCCCTTTTTGAATTCTGCTGGGGACAAGCAATGTGACAACTGGTTATGCTTTCAAATGCTTCCTTTCTCAAATTGGGTTGATGGTTTTTTCCCTCCCCCCC